GTGGAGGGGGTGGTTGAAGAAGGAGGAAAGAAAAACTGAAAAAGAAAAGAAAAAGAAAAGATGAAAAAGGGGAATGGTGGGGTGGGTTGGTCTGATCGAGAACAAAGAAAAGAGGACAGAGGAGTTGTGGAGGAGAAAAAGAATAAAGGAAGAAAGGGTAAATTAGTAACTTTAAATAAATTTTAATTCCATTTTAGGAAACGGGAAGAATCAAGTGGGACGGCTTAAAAAGGAAAGTGAGAAGAAAGATATAAGACGGAGGGAGTATATATTATTTGTCGCGTAATCGTCGCCTAGGCGTCATGGCGATACATTGGCACCGCGCCTCGCCTTGGCGCCGTGATAATATAGTTGGAACATTTATATTAGAAGAGTGTTTGGGGGACAGTTTTGGGGACAAGAAAGTGACACTTATTTGATGAACTTTTCTCAATTCTATTTATTAGACGGATTATTTTGGAGGGATGGTCATAAGGATTTTCTTAATTAGGTCATCGATTTTATTGTACCAATATCCAACAGAATTTGGTAAACATGCACCGTTATTCTTCATGATTTCAAAAATTACACTATTTCCCCATGCTTTCTGTATAACATCAAGAAAGGAACAAAGTAAGTTTTGAAAGCATAGGGGTAACGACACATTTACCCAGCCATAAAAGATATCGGTGCAATAAACTCTTAAACCTTATACTGACATATTAAACTAGTTAGCATTATATAGTAGACGTCAAAAACATATAATCACACGTGTTTTTGTTAACACATACTCCGTATATAGTATTCCCTCTATAGTAAAGTTAATGGTGAGAACATGCGTGTTTCAGTTTAATTTGGAACGGAGGGTGTAGTTTAGTACTCCGTAAGATATTATCGAGTATACCTTCCGCCCTACTGTTTTTGTCTCATTGACTATTAAAAAGGTCAAACTAAATCTACTTTCTTTACATAATTGCATCTATAATTTCTTATTAAAAAATATTTTTGTCAATTTTTATTTTGTAGAATTTTTGATATTATGTTTTAAATATGTAATTTTTGTTTTTTATTCCCTTGTCCCAAATTAAGTTTCCACGGTGTTCAATGAAATATCAAAAAATTAGGAAATTTAATAAAAATAAAAATTACATAGCAAATTTTTTCGTGGACCTAAAATCCGTGCTTATTATATGAATCTTAGAGCATTTTTAGTACGGAGTATAAAAAAGTGGGTCATTTTTAAAAAGAAAAAATATCCACATATAAACTCATGAAAAATGTGAGAAAGTCCACATTTTAATTGTGGACTTTAAGACCATCTAAACAATACTCAAATTACATATGTATACTCAAATTTCATTAATTTTTTATTATACACCTTTGATGAATTGATGTACAAATAAAAAAATCCATTTACAATTAAAATGGTATGAATACCTCTCCATTGAATAAGTGTTATGTGGACTTCTAATGCCTCATATGTTTGGTCAATTTGTCTCATTTTAAATTTAAAAATTTATAAGATGCCCCAATGTCACTCCCCTCTCTCAACTTATCTAATAGTCTATGGTAGTAATTTAAATTCTTTTTTATTATTTTACTAGTTGTAATTTAATGCTTCACACGAGTTATATGTACTCTAAAATTTTTAAAAATCTAAAAAAATTGCAGTTCAATTTTAAAAATCAATTCTATTTATTTTAATTTTCTAATAATCCATACTGTGTGTTTTATATAAATATTTTTGTTTAAGTATTAGATACTCCATATTAAAAGTATATTTTTAATGATAAATAAAATAATCAACAACAGAAGAAGAAAAGCTCTTGATTTTCCCCTCTCCTTCTCATGCCATAACCCCTTCCCCATTTCACAACACCATTATGATAATAAAAACAACAATAGCAATGATCTTATGTATAATGTATATCATCATTATATAAAAATATTAATCTCTCCGTTTTAACGTATTTGTCCAGTTTAATTTTTTGAGTCAATCTAGATGACTTTTGTGGTTCAATTAAATAAAAATCAGAAGGTATTTTTGCTTAAAAATGACTTTATTATATTTATCTATTTGAAAATTTTAAAGTTTTATTTCACTATATTAATATGTTATACAGTGAGAGTAATTGAATATCTAAGTGTGTCCAACTTGACTCGAAAAAGTCAAACTGGGACGGAGGTAGTATCAAACTAGGACAATACACTACGATGGAGGTGATATTAAATAATAACATACATTATGAAATCACTTAAAACTAATTATAAAAGATAAAAAGAACTTTTATATGCAAAAGAGCTCTTTAATGTTTTATTCCACTACTTTTATCCTATAAGAAAAGACTATAGATTTTATTTATTTTACGCAACTCATATTTATCTATTTTTAGTTTCAACTTTTTATAGAATATATTTTATAGAATATATTTTATGTGATAGTATATGAGCCCATGTTGGGGTAAGAACTAGTCATTATGAACGAATACAGAGTATTTTACACGGCAATGGGAATGGCTCTTAGAGGACTTATTCTAGCCAAGGTAATGCCAAACCTCTCCTCCATGTCCAAATCCTGGGGCAAAACATCACCTTCAATCCTCCATTGGAATGAGTTCAACAGGGACCCAACCATCACCGGAACCATCCTCATCGCCATCGGCAAACCAGGGCATATTCTTCTACCGGCGCCAAATGGGACCAGTTCAAAATCTTTCCCTCTAGCATCCATTCCCAACTCTAAAAACCTCTCTGGTTTGAACTCCAACGGGGCCTCCCAGACAGTGGGATCGCGCCCGATCGCCCAGACGTTTACGAGAATTTGTGAGTCTTTGAGAATCGTATGTCCTGAAAGGGTTAGATTTTGGTCGACTTTGCGAGGTATCAAAAATGGGACTGGTGGGTGCAATCTGAGTGTTTCTTTCATGACGCATTGAAGGTAAGGGAGGCGAGTGATGTCGGTTTCGTGCACAAGCTTTCCTTTTCCGATGACCTTTCTGAGCTCCGACTGAGCCTTTGCCATAGTATCTGGGTTCTTGAGAAGCTCTGACATTGCCCATTCTATTGTGTTTGACGATGTGTCGGTCCCGGCAACAAACAAGTCCTGTTAACATACATGATGACGATGACTTACTTTGAGATTCAATATGAACATCTTATTCAAGCAAGGTAGCAAATGCCAGTGTAATTAATGTTTGGGGGTACAATTGAAGGGAGTGGGGGTATCGGGGGTTCGGTTCAGGCCGATGTGGGAGTTTACGGGAGGGTTAGAGGACGTAGAAATCACACTTAAAAAAAAAACCAAAAGGTTGAACCCAACCTCCAACATCCCGCATTATTGATCCATACAATAAGTTGAGAGGAAGTAATGATGTCATAAATAGAACATGGTCGTTTTTTATCATCGCAATCAAGAGTCGATCTTGAATTTACTTGTTCACCACTTCACCTATCAATCACAATTTATAAGGTACCCGCTTCACCCCAAAAATAAGATTACAATTTGAATTTTTTTGGTTAAACTCTGCAATATTTTGGTCACAACTTATGGAAAAAGTATATTTAGTTATAATGTAAATATAGTAAAATTGGATTCATTTTAAAATATAATTTTAAAATTTCAAATTTTTTATATAATTTAATTATTGGAAACTATATTAGATTTTAGGTCAAAGAGTTGCATAGGTTGATCAATAAAATAAAATTATGACTCCCTTCGTCCTTAAATATTTGCCACACTTGTATTCCCGAAGTAAAATATCAAATTTTTTCAATTCATTTTATTTATATGTTGGTATAGAAATAAAAAATAAAATTTACATATCAAAAAACTAAATGAAAAGTTGTTCGAAATAAGAGGTGTCAAGAATATCTTAGTTTATCAAATAAATAATGAAAATGTAGAAATAAACAAAAGTTCACGCAACTGCTAAAAAAGTAAATGTTGTAAATATTTTGGGACGGAGAGAGTAATATTTTTGAGAGGGATGAAGTAGAAAATTAGGTGGGAAAACTAAGGTTATCCAAGGATGGGAGGGCGTGGCATGTGGAAAATATGCTTCGGGAAGTTAGGTTGACGTGATTTGGATATCTGAGACGACAGAATGCTAACACTCTTGTGCGGAGATGCGAGAGGCTTGCTTTGGTACATGGAAGTAAGGGAAGGGTAGATCTAGAAAAATTCGAAAGGAGGTGATTATACAAAACCTAGGACTTCTTACATTTACTGCTGATATAGCCTTAAATAGGAGTGTTTGGAAAGTTAGAATTATAGTACTCCATAGTTGGGTAGGCATTTCAGGCTAGGTGATAGTTGATGCATTCTTTGTTGTATGCTTTCATTGCTTTATATGCTTGGTGTTCTCTACTTGTAGTGCTTTCCTTTATTAACTTTAGTTTGCTCTTTGTTTCTTTGTGCTTTGTGCTCTCTTTACTCTACGTGGCTCCGTGATCTTTTAATTTGTGAAATTTGCACTAAATAGGACTAAAACATAATGATTTTCCTAATGTAGGACTTAAACTTTTTTATTCTGTAAATAGGACTTAATAATGACCTAGTGGGAAGAATAATGTCCAGTAATGATGGACTGTAATAATGGACATTTACTTGAATAATGACTACTTGATAATGACCAAATGTCCTATATTCGAAAATAAAAACATATGGTCCTATATTGGGAAAGTCATTATGTTTTAGTCCTATTTAGGTAAATTTCTCCTTTTATTTTTAGTGCTGCGTGAGCTGGAGGTCTCTTGGGAACAACCTCTCTACTTTCAAGTTGAGGAAAGGCTCGTGTAGACACCCTCCCTGGATTTTATGATCATAGGATTCAACTAGCTTGTTGTTGTTGAATTGACTTTTAACGTATTGTTTTGGTATATCATACTTCCTCCGTCCTAAAAAGATTTACACGTTTTAAAAAAATTGTGTCCCACAATCCCTTACTCATTTCTATTAAAAAACCACTTTTACCCCTTACTTTTTCAAACCCTACCTATCACATCATACATTTTTTCTAATAATCTACACATCACATCCTACTTTTACCCATCACATCAAGGGTATTTTTGGAAAGTCAACACAAAATTATCCCTCCCTTAATTTCAACTTTAGTCAAAACGTGTAAATCTTTTTGGGACGAAGGTAGTAATACTCTCTCTGTCCCTGAGTATTTGTCTAATTTTAATTTTTTTCGGTCAAAATTGGTAAATTTTGACTTTAAATTTATCAAAAATGATATTAGATATTGATACAAAATAGTTTTATTAGATTTATTATATGAAATATTTTCAAAAATATTATTTTATCTCATTAAAATATAATATATATTTTATTTAATTATAAGTTAAAAGTAAAAAAACAATTAACTGGAAAAAGTCAAAATTGTACAAACAATGAGAGATGAAAGTAGGATTTATTATACTTATCACTGTATATGCAAAGATAAAAGATAAATTTCAATAGCGTTCAATTCCAATCGAATGAAATTGAATGCAATTGGATAAAATTAAGTGAAATTAGATGAAATTAATTGAAATTCAATCAACTTTACTTCTTAAAATTGTTACAATTGAATGAGAGTACCTGGTGAAATGTGGACACTTTCAAAAATGCTTACCTGGAAAAGATGTTGGATTTGAGTTGAGTCGACGGCTTCGCCTTTTTCACCGCTCCCGAGGAGCGAATCCAACACATCATCATCCCTCCCGCCGCCGTCACTCGATCTCTCCCCCATCGCCGCCGTCCGATCGTCGATCAAATCCTTGAAGAGCCGGAGCACCTTCCCGAAATGTCCGGCCGTGCGACGTCGCACGCCCAGGGGATCCAACAGCCGTAGGACCGGGAAGTAGTCAGCCACGTTGGGCGACCCAACCTCCACCATGATCGACGACACCAAATCCTTGAATTCCTTGGCCGAATCGGAGTCCGGGTCGCACATGTCCTTGGAGAAGACGGTGTTCGATAGCAGATTCAGGTTCGTCTTGAACACCTCCATCCCGATGTCTACGGCTCCCCCTTCCTGGCTTATCTTCCGGCAATAGGAAATCAGATCTTGGATCTTCCTGTGGCGGAGCTGGCGGTTGGCGTCCAGCTTGCTGCCGGAGAAGATGTGGGAGGTCAGCATCTTTCGAAGGGCTCTCCACTGGGAGGAGACGGGGAGGAAGGCGACGGAGTAGCGGTGGTGGTCGTGGGCTCGCAGGGCGTCGGAGACTGCCCGGCCGGAGGAGAAGAACGTGTCCTGCTTCTGCAGAGCCTCCTTGGCCGCGGCGGGGGAGGAAATGACCACCGTGTTTACGGTTCCGAGCTTCAGATTCATCACCGGCCCGTATTTTGCGGCGAGGCGGGATAGGGAGATGTGAGGTTTGTCTCCGAGCAAGTGAAGGCTCCCGATGACCGGCAACGGAAAAGGCCCCGGCGGGAGGGTTTTCCGGCGACGGATTGATTTGGGTAGTAGTAAACAGAAAGCCCAGGCGGCGAATAAAGCTGCTGCTGCTACCAAAATGCTCTGGATTTCCATTCTCTCCCTTTGTCTCTATTGAAGAATGAAGAGCATGCAAGCGTCGCAGGATAAATACTTTTTAATATGCCTTGAATATGTATTGTGTTGCCGCTACGCAGATTAGTAAACATGGGTCTCGCTGCCCGATCAGGGAGTCAGGGAGTGAAAGGAGGCGACACCCCCTAGGGTCCGAGGGGTCGGAGCCGCCCTGGTCTGACTTGTGTACCTATTTATATAGAGGTAGGGCACAAGAACTCTGTACCTTGGAACCGATGTCATAATACAATCCGCCTCCGTTCTTGTCTGTAGACGTAGTCAACACAACGTCGGTAAACCACGTTAAATCAGTCTGTCTTTACGTTTTCTGTTTATTTTAATTACTCAATTAATCTATTGGCTAATAACAATACTCCTCTATCAATGGGTTATGAATGGGTTAGGTAATTGACAGTGACAAGGCATATCATGGGGGGCGACGACCCTTGCTTGGGGTCCGTGGGGCGGAGTTACCCCGGCCCGACTCGTGTGCCTATTTATATAGAGGTAACTGGTAAGGCACAAGTACTCTGAACTCTAGATGTCATAATACAATTTGTCTTTGTTCTTGTCTGTGGACGTAGCCAACACAACGTTGGTGAACTACGTCAAATTTGTGTGTCTTTACGTTTTTTTCAATTACTCTATTAAGTAATAATAATACTCCCCTATGAATAGGTTAGGTAATTGACAGTGACAAGGACGATGATGTTTCTTTCCAGGTGAACAACGCAGCAATCAGGGTGTAATAATTGAACTGACCATCATCTAAGCCAAAGGTTTACATTTAGGCCATATGAGCTACATTAGGGGTATGCAAGAATACATTAGGGATTTAGGGGTATGCAAGAATCTCACTCGTTTCCCAATGCGAAATATTTCAGTCTTGTTCTTATAATGTTCCGTTGTGTTTGTGATAACAAAATCTTGTCCTGAATTCATTCTAAGCCGTTTAAAAAATGGAACGGGACTTGAACAAATAAATGTTTTCAAGTTCTCTCCAGTTGTCTCATATATTTGTATATATTTATTTGCTAATTTATATAATGATATAACATAAAAAAAGTATCGTAATTTTTATTTTTCCAAAAATAGATATAAATAAATATTCAGATTCAAATATTTTAAAAAATAGACTAGGACCGGAACACCTAATATTCAAGACCGTATTGACATGACCCACCCCAATTTGTGACTCATAATTTTTATACAGCTTATAGTTTTGACTTTTGACGCATGTTGTAACATTCTTTCATGTTTATTTATTATTTTGGTTTTTTAAAACATTCTAAATAAATATATCATTTTCTCTTTGTTTGTGTATTGAAGAAGAAGAAGAAGAACAAGCAAGACTCACATTTTCATGATAAAGGCAAAATATCACCAGTACCCCTCGTGGTCTATAAATTAAACACCAATACTTCTCTATTTTCAAGACTTATGAAGCTTATAATTTTGACTTTTGACGTGTGTTGTAACATTTTTTCATGTTTTTTTTTATTATTTTGGTTTTTTTAAAAAAAGTGAAATTTGCACTGAATAAGACTAAAACATAAGTCATTTCCCAATGTAGGACTTGAACTTTTTTATTCTCTAAATAGGACTTAATAATGACTAGTGAGAAAGTGATGCTGGACATTTAGTTGAATAATGACTAGTAGATAATGACCAATGATCCTACATTGAAAAATAAAAACATATACTCCTATTTTGAGAAAGTCATTATGTTTTAGTCCTATTTAGGTAAATTACCCTTTTAACACACTCTAAATAAGGCAAATTCTTCCGTTGACATAATGTTCATGGTCATTATATGAATCTTATTGCATTTGTAGTATAAAAGAAGTGGGGCTTTTCAAAATAAAAAAATATCCACATGCGTGCAAGTCCATGAAAAATGTGAGAAGATTCATATTTTCTATGTAGACCTTAGAACTATGTAAGTATCGCTCTCTAAGTAAATATATAGAGTGTGGTCTTTATGAGCCTGTTTAAAGCCCCAATCACGAAGAGCTGAGCTAAGCTTGTGAAACCAATTTCTTGGAGATTGCCGCAACCCATACAAAGATTTACGGAGACGACACACTTTACCGGGAATAAAATACCCAGGTGGCAACCGCATATAAACTTCCTCAATTAAATCCCCATTCAAAAAGGCATTATTAACATCAAGCTGATGAACTTCCCATTGTTTAGCCACAGCAACAGATAATAAAATGCGTACCGTACCCATTTTAGCAACAGGAGCAAATGTATCAGTGTAGTCCGTACCAAATTCTTGGTGATTCCTCAAGACCACGAGGCGTGCCTTATCCCGCTCCTTGGTACCATCAGATCGGAACTTCGTGCGAAACACCCATTGACAACCCAATGCTGTCCGATCTGGAGGGAGATCTGTGATATCCCAAGTATGATTATTCTCCAAGGCATCAATTTCCTGTTGCATAGCCAGTCGCCAGTTCGCATGTTGCATGGCTTGCTTAAACGTCTTGGGAACTTCGTGTGAGGAAACGGCGGCTAGATATCCACGGTACCTGTCATGCAATTTCTCATAATGAACAAAATTATGGATAGGATACCGAGTACCTGAAGAACGGGAAGGAGCAATAGAAGGAGCAACAGGAGCCGATGCCTGGGCAGTATGACAATAATAGTCGGAGAGGTGGGCTGGGGGGCATCGGTTTCGGACAGGAGGCAGGGGTGGGGAGGTCGGGGAGGACGACAAACTGACCTCGCTTTCTATGGAACTATCGCTGGAATCCCCGCTGCGTGGGGACTCACTGCCGGAAGAGGAAACAGTGGGTTGGGGGTGGCTGGCGGCAGTTTCGGCAGCAGGAAGTGGAGTGGGGAAGTCGGCATGCACAGGTAGAGAGGATGTATCCGGGGTGGGTGAGTCTTTAGAGACTGAAAAAGGAAAAATAGATTCATCAAATGAGATATCTCGGGTATGAAAGAAACGATGAGACTCAAGATCATAAACCCGCCAACCTTTAGTACCCGTAGGATAACCCACAAACATACATTTGACACTTTTTGGGGAAAATTTATTTGGTGGTCGCTGAATATTGCGAACAAAACACAAACACCCAAATACCCGTAGATGAGACAAGTCTGGAGGCCTTGAAGAAAGAAGTTCATATGGAGATTTGCCCTGTAGCAATGGAGTAGGTGTACGATTTATGAGATAAACGGCGGTGCGAACACATTCACCCCAAAACTCAAGAGGTAAAGAGGCCTGAAACATGAGAGAGCGAGCGACATTAAGAATGTGACGATGTTTGCGCTCGACTCGACCATTTTGTTGTGGTGTATTCACACAAGAAGTTTGCACTAGGACCCCCATACTAGTGTAAAACTCACGCAGAGGCCTATTCAAAAACTCAGTGCCATTGTCAGAACGAAAATTTTAATGGTTTTACCAAATTGGGTATTAATAAGAGAGAAGAACTGTTTCAAACAACTGGCAACCTCACTTTTATCAATAATAAGAAAAACCCAAACAGATCTAGAATAATCATCGACAATGGTAAGAAAATAATGAGACCCAGTAGAAATACATGGAGAATATGGACCCCATAAATCACAATGAATTAAGTCAAACAAGTTTTCAGCTTTATTAAAACTAGGGGAAAATTTAGAACGAGTCTGTTTGGAAAAGAAACAAATGTCACATGACTGAAAATTTTTAATTTCAGCATGGCTTTTATTAAATGGAGGAAAAGAGAACACTTGTGGAGATGGATGGCCAAGACGCTTGTGTAACAAGGAGACGGACTCGGCTCTAGATGCTTGGGCTTGAGAAGGAAGGACATAGACTCCGTTGCGTGCCTCACATTGTCCAATCCGAGTCTTCGTAGTTCGGTCCTGTATCACACAAAAATGGTCATCAAAGAAAACACGACAGTTATGTGAGTTGACAAGACAACTCACGGATATCAAATTGCACTTCAAATTGGGAACATATAAAACTTTATGCAAGATCAAGGAAGAGGACACTTGTACACGGCCACAGGAGTTTGCCACCACGTGAGTCCCATCGGGCAAACTGATAGTACAAGGAGGCCGTTGTACAACGTCGGTCAAGCAATGCAATAGACCTGTCATGTGATGAGAGGCCCCGCTATCCACAAGCCATTCACAAGGCACACTGAAGGACATACCTTGTAGTTTATCTGAAGAAGACAGTGCGGAGTCAATCATCGAAAACAGCCGTGCAACTTGATCAGGAGACATGGCTGAAAGAGAAGGGGGGACATCCGCCGCTGCATTGGCCGTAGGACCAGCCGCCGGCGGAAGAGACTGCCCGGCAGTCTGTCCGGCAGTAAAGGGGGGGCAGCGGCTGTCCACTGGTTCGGCCACCGCGGTGACCACGTCCTCCCCCTCGTGTAGTAGAAGACCTGCCTCGTCCTCGGCCAGAAGGTGGAAACCCAATGATCAAATAACACCTATCCGCCGTATGTCCCTGTTTCCCACAATGAGTACATTGATATGTATCAGGAGTAGAGCGAGGAGTGGCGAAAGCCATAGCATCAGTGCGGTCATCACGCGCACGCACCACGCTCCTGTGACGCTCTTCCTGAGTCACCAAATAAAATGCTCGGTTTAAATCTGCAAGAGGTTGAGTACCCAAAATTTGTCCCCGAATAGTGCCAAACTGTTCGTCGTCCAAACCCAACAAAAATTTACGTGTCTTTGCTTTCTCCGCATTAGCACGTAGGACGGTGGCAGCCGCGCACGTACAGCCGCAAGTTGGGTCCTCCACGCCATACAATTTGTTCCATAAAGTGACAAATTGATTGTAATATACCACCACAGTTTGACCCTTTTGTCTCAAATTCTGCAATTCATTCTCCAATTGATATATCCGGGGCTCGTTGATAGTGCTGTACCGAGCTTTCAAATCAGACCAGAGTTCATGAACAATATTATGAGAAGCAATGCTAGGTTGTATGATGTCATCCACACTATTAAAAATCCAACTACAAATCGTAGAATTGTTTGCTTCTCATGCCTCTAGCTCCGCCGGATCGGTAGGCTTAGGCATTCCCGTAGGGGTCAAAAAACCCGCCTTACTGCGTCCCTTTAAAGCATTGAATATAGTTTTCTCCCAAGTATCAAAATTATCGCCCTTTAACACATGCTTTGTCAAAGTATTACCTGGACCCTCAGACGGATGGAGATAATATTCGGACGATGAATCGTGAATCAAACGAGTCTTTTTAGCAGTAGCCGCCATTCCTAGAACAAAAGCAATACCAATGGAATCTGCGAAAAATCCACTGCCAAGAACAAGAAAAAAAATGCCGTGCTGCTTCCAAAAGAAAAAAAAAAGGAGATGGGCTTAAATGTACAGGCCCGATAACACAATATTTACGACCCAATTACAAATACCCGCTAACATTCTCTTTGTCTGTGTGTTGGAGAAGAAGAAGAAGAAGATCAAAGAACAAGCAAGACTGATCACGTTCTCCTGATAAAGGCCAAAAAGCACCAGTACCCCTCGTGTTTTAGGAAATATGCACCAATATCTCGACCAAATAGCTCTAGTGCCCCAAGTGGTTTAAAATGCTCTGGATTTCCATTCTCTCTTTGTGTGTATTGAAGAATGAAGAACAAGCAAGAGTCGCACATGCCTCTGTAAATGCCGAAATTGGTTAGGTATTTGACAGCTACAAAGACGATGTTCCTGTGCAGGGAACCACAATCAGTGTGTAATAATTGGACGGAGCGAGAAGGGATGACTATTGAAGAGGAATGAAGTGGGGACTAGGATGATATGGAGGGAGAAAAAGAGAAGGAGCATGCTACATGTACCACAAAATTTGTACTCTATTTATACACCAAAGATATACACTAACATTTTGATAGTTCATACTGACGCAAAGTGTTGGTGCGCTAACAAAAATTACCATTACATCAATACAAATTGTTGGTGCATCCCTGTGGTGTACAAAATGAGATACAAATTCTTAGGGTACAAATAATTTTATCCAAAAGAGAAGAATGATTAGAAAAAGGGGGAATAAAGGAGAGAGAGGAGGGGATATTATTCCCTTAGAGAGAAAAAAATTATTATTCGCCAATTATTGTTTTAAAATTTTTTTTGTACAAGTGAAGAGATGACATTTGAAAAAAAAACTAAAAAAGTAGGGGAATGATTAGGGAAGGATGAGGAAAACTAAAAGAGTAAGTGATGCAATATTAAAAGTCGATGATGCATGTAGAAGAGGAATAAAAAGAAATGAGTAGTGATGCTTTAAAATGAAAAAAATATGCTAGAGGTATCACATGCAATTTACCCTAAAGTTTGCACTAAAACAGTGTACTAACATTTCGAAGGTTCGTGATTGCATTTTGTATCTGTTCGAAACATTACTCTAGCACCAGATAAAGGTGCATACAAAATGCAATTTGAGGGTTTGGTGTATACAAAATTATAGTATCCTACTAGCACAAAATGAAGTTGCATATCTACGCTGTACAATTTGAGGTACAAGTAGCTCAATTGTAAAGCAAAAGTACTATCATGTGCGAGTGCGTGGTGAAAACGTTAAAATATTTTAAAAAATACGAGTGTTTGAACCTTAAAACCACAAAAAATAAAAAATAAAAAAAAATGTATATAGGTCAATATGCATATTTCAACGTTGCACATAATTCTAATAATAATTTTAACAATATTAATAATGTTCATTTCAAACAATGTTTATCAAGTACACAATAATTTTCTTAAGCTATAAATTTGTATATTTTATAATTCTCAACTTAAAGATTGGTCATATAAGATTCAGAGTACTCATATACTACGTAATAAGGTGAGAGTTTAAAGTACTGGAATGTTAGGTATTTAGATAGCAAAGTGAGATAATTTGAAAAGAGTTTATAACTAAGATAAAATATTAAAAATTAAGGAAAATATATCACATGAAATTTTATATAAGAAAAGCAGAAAAAGAAATCATTTTTATAGAAAATATAAAATAAAAAAGAAAACAAATTTTTGAGTACTTTTGCCCAATTTTTTACTCCGTATAAAATAGTGCACTAGGCTTATGAGTCTAACCAATAATTAAATAAAAGTTGTATTGTTTATTTAATGTGGATTAGAAAAATGATTTTTTTAATATTGGTTTTCCAAACAAAATATTTATTTTTAATATGTAAAACAATTTTTATTTAATTGATACTTAATGTTTGTCTAATTTGGTTGAAAAAATTAAACTGCACATACAAATGTTTTAAGATTGTAAATATATTTAATAAATATGAGTAAAAGTTACACTTTTGTCACCAAGTAAAATTTACTCTTTTTTTTCATTTGATAATCATTCCTTTTTTCTATACAATGGTTAAGCATCGCATGCGCACCTTAATTGCTTGGACGTGAATTACAAAATCATAATGCAATCACTAAGGTATATACAAAATCGTCTTAGAGTTATGCAAGCGTTCTTAAAGCGTCAGTTCGAGAATTAAGCGTAACCTGCTTTTTTTTAAAGAAGAACTGTATTACCTAGGAGTGAAGAGTGCGCGCTCAGAAATGCGGAGTAAACCCAAACATTCAAATGTTTCGCAATTAGTTGCAAGAGTCTGCACTTAACTGCAGTAACCATTCATCCCAATTCAATCCGGCATTAAACATTCGAGTGTTGGAGAACCAATATTCGAATGTTACCCGAAAGTTGATTATTTCATCATCAACCAACGTGTTCGTTCGGAATTTGCCTATAAATGTGACACTTTGCTATTTTTTAAGATACGACCCAGAAAATTTTATACTTGTTCGAGATTACTTACGTCTTATCTGTGATAAGTCTTTTCATACGTACGTATCTTCTCCATATTTAATGTGTTATTGTCCAATTTTGGATCAACCAAGATAAGTTCTTATTTGTTTCTATAAGATTATTTTATAATTGTAAAAATGTACAAAACTCATGTTTCCATTTTGAAAAGAATAAAAACTGGGTCAAAAGTGGTACAAAAGTGTCAAAGAGTGAGCGATTGGAAGGCAACAGAGTAAAAATAGAGAAAATAATATGGAGCAACAAACAGAGCCTTATCTTGAATTGACGCAAAAGACAAATATTCTCAGAAAAATATGGAGGCGGAAAAGGCATAAAAAGATTTGGGATCATACAAGATCGAAAGGTCTTAATAAAATGAGAGTCAAACCAAAAAAAACGTTGAAAAATTCGTATCTCTCAAACGGTTGATAATTTGGAGTCGCTGCAAAAGGAAAAGTTGTTCAGAATATAATTTTGAGCTAGATAACGTTCTCCAAAATCTTTTTCCGATAGTTACAACCAGGTTTGTCTTATATTTCCCCAAATTTTGAGCAGCATCAATTGATTTGCAAATCAACAAAGGCAATACGCAAGAAAGAAAAAAACAAAGGAAACAACACAACATGAGTAGGATGAAATGGACATCCAAGAAAATTTTTCTCCAACAGAGAACGGAAACCAGCGACAAGCCTGAAAATCTCCTCCTATAAATTGAGACCATTGGCATTCATTTCACAATACACCTCCACCGGGCTTTCATAGCCCGGTTTAATATTTCTAGCTCCAAATTTCTAGTTCTTTTTAGTATAGTTTTGTTTCGGTTGTCCCAAAGCGGCTCCGACTCTGCTCTCAGTTGTAACTTTTATTAGTTACAATTTTAATAAAGAAATATTTGCACTAAATAGCACAAAAACTTAAGTCATTTCCCTAAATAGCACTTAAACTGTTTTATTCCCTAAATAACACTTAATAATGTCCATAATGTCTAGTGATGGCGAATATTTTCTTGAATAATGACTAATGCATAATGACTAAAAGTGCTACATTGGGAAGAAAAACACATGTGGTGTTATTTAGGGAAAGTCATTATGTTTTAGTGTTATTAAGTAAATTCCTCTTTAATAAAATGTTCTTTTATTCCATGCATTGTTAGTACTTAGTATGGGTTAGGAACAATGGAACATATACTCTATATGTTTAGTTAATTGTTAGAATAATTGTTCTAGAATAAATTTTATTGTTAAATTAATTAATTATATCGATAGATGAATTAATTAATCATTGGAAACTAGTTTTTGCCTTGTCTATGAGTATATAATTTAATTAAGCCAGACTTTTTAGAATGTATTAATGGTACCTTGAGAGAAGATAAATTAATGAAATATTGTGACAGATATATTATTATTCCAATTTTTATTGAAATATGTGACAACAGTAGTTAACTCAAATGATGTCTTGATCTGAAATCTAGTCTTACACTAGTATTGTTTTATTTCTTTGCAAAAGCCTCAGTGGTATAGTTTTCCTGTCAAAAATCGAATTGAGAAGACTTCCAAACTCTTGATATTCCTCCTGGTTCCCGAACAAATTACATTATTAAAAAATACTACCAGACACATCAGTACATTAAGAAGTCTATTCTCTCATATAAAGACAAAAGGATGAGCCCCATCCCCGAGGCTTCCCTCAGATCCGGTCGGACAGTCACTAAGAGAAAATAAATTTGACTTTGATCACATATTGGTGGCAAAGAGTCGAGCCTGCACCTGATACTTGCAGAGCCTCTATGCTTACATAGTTGCCTCTCAGCGCAGTTACTATGAAGTGAACTCAGGTCTTACTTCCTTGAAACTTCTTGCTTTTGTCAATGTAAAGACAAAATCCATATTCATAATAAGGCGTATAGTCCAAACCATGTTTAAACTTAGTGCATAGCTGTTAGACCTTTTTCAATCCCTCCTCAAACGACGTTCTAACAGCCCAATTCTAAATCAGCAATGTTGTTTTGTACTTCTCTCAAATCTCATAGGGGAAGAACATATTTAAATGAATCGTGCCTTTCTCTTGTGTTTAAACCACAAGTCCTATGAAACTTAGAGTCTTTTTTTGTCTGATCTAATTGATTTTATTAAGGTTTGATATGATCTGGTCTAATCTACTATTTTTAAGGTTTTTTCTGATTTGAACTAGTTTGATATAATCTGGTTCCAATAAGAGTGAGTAAATAAGATTAAGATGAATAGAACAAACTTTAAGTCTAATTTATATGATGTTTTCTACCCTTGTGGGGTTAAGGTAGATTTTTCCTTCGTGGAATTCAGTTACCCTTCGTGCAAGATCCACTTTTGGTCCACAATATTTATTTGGTTAAATATCTTTTTAGTCTATAAAATTAAGGAATTTTAAATTTAATCCTTTTAATTTTTTTTATATAAATGTCTCATGACACACATAAATAATTAACTTCTCATTTGTGACGTTTTGAACTTTGATATTATTTGAAAACAACCTCTCCTTTAAAAAAAACATTCTCATTTATGCATGTCCTTGAACAATACATAGCGTCTAGCTTTGAATGTTTAAACAACTTCATATTTAGACAAATTATTGGGCTACTATTTCATCATTATAACACAAAAACTTATTTAAAAACAACAAATACGTGCCCACATTCCCAACTCGTGCGAAGCATGGGGTAGCACACTAGTGATATCATTAGGAAGAGACATTTTACAAGGCAATAGGGATGGCTCTGAGAGGACGAGCTTTAGGCAGGGTAATGCCAAATTTCTCTTCTATATCCAAATCATTTGGTAAAACACCACCTTCAATTCTCCATCGAAATGAGTTCAATAGAGACCCCAACATCACAGGAATCATTCTCATGGCCATTGGCAAGCCAGGACATATTCTTCTCCCAGCGCCAAACGGGATCAGCTCAAAATCCTTCCCCTTAAAATCTATTCCCAACTCCAAAAACCTCTCTGGTTTGAAGGCTAATGGGGCCTCCCAGACACTAGGATCACGCCCAATTGCCCAATTGTTGATGAGAACCTGTGAATCCTTGGGAATCGTGTACCCGAAAAGTGTTAGATTTTGCTCAACTTTGCGGGGAATCAAGAAAGCACCCGGTGGGTGCATTCTGAAAGTTTCTTTCAAGATGCATTGAAGGTAAGGGAGGTGAGTGATGTCGGCTTCATGTATGATTTTTCCTTCTCCAATGACCTCTTTGAGCTCCGACTGAGCTTTGGCCATCGTCTCTGGATTCTTAAAAAGCTCTGACATTGCCCACTCTATTGTGTTTGACGATGTCTCACTCCCAGCAACAAACAAGTCCTGTTAACATGTATGCCAAAGGCTTACTTTGAGATTCTAGATGAACATCTTATTTGGCCAATCATGATTTTTGAAGTATATACTATAATACATCAACAGTTGGGGGGCGGGGGGTGGGAGGAGAGTAAGTTGGAGAATCAAGGAGATAAATTTTTTTACCCTCTTCACACTTTATGACCAGAAATGATGAGAAAAGTATATTAAATTATAAGATAAGTTTAATATAATTAGATTCATCTTAGAATATAGTTTTGACAGGAATTGATTATTTCATTTCCACGGGGATTAAAAAAAGTAGTGATATTGAAAAGATATTTAATATTTTAAAGAAAATGTTTGAATATATTAATGAATACTTTTTTTGAAAGAAATATTAATGATTACTTATTGTTAATGACTTCCTCATTTTACTTTTTTCTATGTACATATGAATTGTAATACTTTAAAGATATTAATTCAGATTCGATTCAATTATATTAAAAAGTAAGCGGGAAGATTAATTAGGGACGGATGGACTATAAGGAGAAGTATGTATGTCTACTACTTTCTCCGTCCCAATTTCAGTTACTTGTAAACTATTCGTAAGATCAAATATTTGTGTTTTGCATAACTTTTTATATACGGAGTAGTTTTTTTTAAATATATACGGAGTTATTTTTTAAATTCTGCCCTAATTGTCAAGTTTATTTATTTGAAAATGACTTCAAATAAGTATTATAAACCGAAACATTGAATTTAGAGCTTGTTCTTTTTGTCTAATCTGGTTTTACTAAGGTTTGATTTGATCTGATTTGGTCTGGTTGTATATATATTTAAAACATTTTTCGATTTGATTTTCTTATCTAATCTAGTTCCAATAAAAACGAGTAATACACTCTCCGTTCTAAATTAGATTATAACTTTCCATTTATGATGCAGAAACACAAGTTTTTTAAATCAATACTCTGTATATTTTAAAATTACTATATGAATAATTAATAAAATTTACTCCCTCCGTCCTATAATGATCTTCCCGGTTCACTTTATGAAGTTTGACCGACTTTATTTTCAATTCAATTTATTTGATTATAAGTGTAAAATTAAAAAATAAAATTTATATATTTAAAATTACTATATGAATAATTAATAAAATTTATATTTTAAAAAACTACACTAAAAATTTAACATCACAAATTGAGACATGAATATTTTGTTCAATCAAGTAATTAATAAAAATACACAAACTAACTAGAGGTATCAATAAGTATCTTCCATAAAAAAATTCAAAAAGAATCCTAAAAAATTACTCCTTGTGGTAAGAACAAACTCTAAATTCCTAGAGGCAATAGAGATTTTCAAAAAAACTTACTTGGAAAAGATGTTGGATTTGGTTCGAGTCTAGGGCTTCGCCATCTTGGCCGATCCCTAGGAGCAAATCCAATACATCATCATCATCGTCATCTCTTCCGCCGCCGCCGCTCACTCTCTTCCCCTGCGCCGCCGCTCGCTCATCGATCAGATCCTTGAATAGCCGGAGCACATCACCGAAATGTCGGCTGGAGCGACGCCGTACGCCCTGGGGATCTAGCACTCCCAGAGCCGGGAAATAGTCCACCAGGTTGGGCTTCCCAGCTTCTACCATGATAGAACACACCAGATCCTTGAAATCCTTGGCCGAATCCGAGTCCGGGTCGCACAGATCCTTGGAGAAGATGGTGTTCGACAGCAGATTCAGGGTCGTCTTGAACGCTTCCCGGCCGATATCTACGGCTTCCCCTTCCCGGCTCATCTTCCGGCAATAGGAGATCAGATCTTGGATCTTCCGGTCACGGAGCTTGTGGTTGGCGTCGAGTCTGCTGCCGGAGAAGATATTGGAGGTCAAGATCTTCCGAAGGGCTCTCCACTCGGGGGACACGGGGAGGAATATGACGGAGTAGCGGTGGTGGTCGTGGGCTCGCACGGCGTCTGGGACTCCCCTGCTGGCGGAGAAGTATGAGTCCTGCTTCTGCAGAACCTCCTTGGCCGCGGCGGGGGAGGAAATGACCACCGTGTTTACGGTTCCGAGCTTCAGATTCATTACCGGCCCGTATTTTGCGGCGAGACGGGAAAGGGAGATGTGCGGCTTGTCTCCAAGCAAGTGAAGGCTTCCGATGACCGGAAACGGAAAAGGCCCCGGCGGGAGGTTTTTCCGATGACGGATTGATTTGGGTAGTAGTAAAAAGAAAGCCCAGGCGACCAATAAAGCTGTTGCTGCTACCAAAATGCTCTGGAAATCCATTATTTCTCTTTGTCTGCATTGAAGAACAGGCAAGACTCACATTCTCATGATCATATATAGTGCCCATGCAATAGTTTTTTCCCTCTTTTCACATAAGAATGAAGAACATGCAAGACTAGCCTTCTCATGAATCATGATTTTTTTTGAAGTCAAAATTCATTCCATTAATTTAAAAAGTTCGGGATACAATCAAATGGAGCAAAGTCCCAAGACGAAGAGGACTGTTGACCAAAAGCCTCAGAGGCTAAAATATGAGAGAAATTAAAATGACGAAAAATAAAATCACAAGAACAAAAACTGAAGGATTGCATAAGCGATTTGCACCGAAGAATAGTCAACGCCTCAAAAGATGAACCCACGAACCGATGATTACTGATGGAGCGTATTAAAGTCATGCAATCCGAAAAAGACCTAGACTCTTGGAATGGATTTGTCTTTGATCCAAGTTAAAGCTTCTTTGAGAGCCAAAGCCTCAGCCATAAGCGGGTTCAAATAGAAATTGAGTTTACCATTGATAGCCTTCACAAAATTACCGCCCGGTTCATACAAAACGAATCCAAAAGACGCTTCCTTTGCAAAAAACTGCTGTCAAAAGTGGAAGAGTTTAGAGAAACGGAGAGAGTAATATCTAATTTTTATTTTTAAATTTTACCCCATCTTTCATACCCCATCATAACGCCATATTGGAATTTTATTTGTGGACGGATGGATTAGGAGGCAAGGAGGGAGGAATCATATTGTACCTATACTCTCCGATCATTTTCCCACAAGGAGGAAGTATTGGTGAATGGTGACCATTTTCTATATCATGGGAGGCACGGTTTATTTTTTTATTTTTTGTTTATTATTTGGTTTTTCCATTTTTTTTAAAATTTCATTTCTATTTTTTATAATATTTTTAAAAAATCAAAATTCTTTGTATCTGAAATAAAAATAAAAATATTAACATATACTCCATCTATCTCAAATTAAAAAATTTCACCTTTTATTTTAAAGGAATAATTTTTTTGGTAAGTTTTAAAAAGAAAATCCAGAATAAAAATATATTAAAAAAAACACAGAAAAAACGAAATGAAAAAAATTGAAGCATACTAAACACCTAAAAAAGTTCTTAGAATTAAAATGTTCAAAAACATATTCTTTTTTTTGTTTTATTTTATTTCTTATGTATTCCTCATTTTTTGAAGTTCTTCTAAAAAAGTTTTTACTTTTTTATTTTGGTAAACAAAAATTGAAAATTGTTAATTTTGAGACATACAGATACAGTATATGTTAATTATTATTTTTTTAAAACAAAAATAGTTTTGAATTTTAAGAACATTATAAAAGTATTTTTTTTAAAAATTTAAAAACTTTGATAAATAAAAGAAACAAGTATATGAAAAAAAGGTAAAAACCAAAACTAAACGAAAAAATAAGAAATAAGCATCAATCTCTCTTATATTTTGGAAAATAAGCACCAATGTGTTCCTTTTTTTGCTAGAAAAATTTCTAGAAAATGGTCAGAAAAGAATGGATTCAATGTTTTAAAACAATGATAACTTTAGAAATTAGTTTTGAAAACAATGATGTATTAAACCTATTTTTAAATTACGGGAACAGGTCTATTGACCATTCTATTGTGTAAATTAGGGGTGATTCGTATTCGAAAAGGATGATTCGTATTCGCTATATTTGAATTCGAATCCGAATACAAATCATATTTTAGATTCGAATTATTTTCAAGTTCGAATACAAATATTAATAGATTTAATTCATTTATTATTTGAATTATTCGAATATTATAATTTATAAATAAATTTATATATATTCTAATATATTAAATATTTGTGTACATATTTTAACATATTTTAATATATTAAATTTTTTTGTACATATAAATTTATATATATTCGAATATTATAATTTATAAATAAATTTATATATATTCTAACATATTTTTACTACATTTCACATTATTATAAAATAATAATTTAATGTCTTTAAGAAATCTGTTTTAAGAAAAAAAATTACTAATATTTTCGAATTCGAATACGAATTCAAATACGTCAAATATCTATCGAATCGAATACGAATGTTTTTTAAAATTCAAATTATATACGAATCCGAATTCGAATACATATCACTTTAATCGAATACGAATTGAATAGTGATATATTTGCTTCGATTCGATTCGTATACACCGTACCCCTAGTGTTAATGGGTGAAGTAAATGACAATGACAAACAATGCTTGCTCTTTTGCAGCCAAGAACAATGAATGAGGGTGTAAATGTGGAATATGGAGTATTGACTTTTATAATCACCTAAGATTTGATTTTTAATCTTTAATTCATCATTTTTTCTTGTCTCATATTGGATGCTACACTTTGAATAATGTGTAAAATTCCATCATAAAAAATTTAAAAATAAAAATTATACTCCGTACTATATATATATATATATATATATATATATATATATATATATTGATACGAACTCGTATCGGATAGAGAAGACTCAGAGCGTCTTCGAGCTCTTGAGAATATGGGACGAGGAAGAAGAAGAAGAATTGAGGCGAAGAGGGAATCGGCGAACCGAGAGGGGAGAAGGAATTAGGGTTTTGAATTATTTATTGATTGCTTGCATAATAACGGGGAAGGATTACAATATATAGAGAGTAATACGATACGCTAATTGACCTAATGGGCCCGGGCCCATACTAAACCCTAAACCCTATTAACTAAATAATATTAAATAATAAATACTAATTAACTAATAATTAATTAAATATCCTAATCACCATACATATCATATATATATATATATAACAAAAAGTAACAAAAATATTTTATTTTATCAAATTATCAATGAAATATGCAAACAAATCATTGTTATCGAAAGATCGTAATAATGACAGTGGTATCGCTTTCAGGACGGACGGAGTAAAAATTACATGGGTAAGTTTTATTTTTAGTTTTTATACCAAATTTTAAATAAAATGAATTAACTTAAAATAATATTTTGAAAATAGTTTATAAGATAAATGTAATAAAGTTATTATTATATACATTTATAATTTAGATCTAATTTAATTAATGGATAAAGTTTATCAATTTTGATTACAAAAAGACAAAAGTAGATAAATACTCTGAGACGAGATAGTATGCATGTGTGTCTGTGTGTCTATTTTTTATATAGAAAATATAGATTCTACATTCTTGTTCCTTTGACATTGCTTAATCTGAGATACGTACGATATTTTGTTCGTAAAATTGACGGTTCCTACTCTTCCTAAATCCCTCGATCCCACCCCTTTCAATTGCATCTTTCAAATTTTGACTTCAAAGTCAACTAAACTTAGAGGGTACTATTGAAGTGGGTGGGGCACGGTGAATCCGGGGCGGGCCAAGGTGTGGGATTTCTGGAAGGTTAGGAAGTGTCATGAGAACTGTCTCCTATATTTTATTAATAGAAAACGAAAGGAAGGTAAATGCTCTTAAGTGAGAGGAGCTCTTCGAGTACAATTAAGGACAATAATTAAAAGAAACTTGTTCAATGAAACTCAGAGGGTCGTTTTTATCCTGGGCAAGAATATCGACTACTCGATGCAACAGTACTCGGTGCTTGCGTGGACCATCAAATTCAAACCCCCAAGTGGAACATTTTAAGGAACTAGTATTTTGACTCGTGCCATGCACGGGGTCGAAAGAAATTTATGTCGATTCTAAATTTATTTTAATGAAATTTATTTTTCAGTATAAAGTAAATATATTGCTCACATGATTTTTAATACTACAAATGAAAAAAGCCAAAGTAAAATAAATAATATTTGAGGAACAGAATGTAGAGTTATCAATGTTTATTTTCATACCAAATTTTCCGAAAGATTTCAGGGTATACAACATTTTTGGTATGATTGCAAGGGTTTCTATTGTCATCTAGAACTAATATTTTTAATCCGGTCTTTGTCTTCAATCGTGAAACAACAAAATATAGTTGACCATGTGTGAACACTGACTTGGTTAAAAATAATCCCACAAATGACAATGTTTGACCTTGACTTTTGTTGATTGTTATAGCAAAACATGAGGCGATCAAGAATTATCTTCTTTGGAACTTCAAGGGTAGCCCTAGATCAGATGGTACCAAATTCATTCTAGGGATGTAAACTTTTTCCCCGACTCGATTTCCCGAAACCACAATTGCACCAATAACATTATTTCGCAGCTCTTGAACGATTAATCTTGTCCCATTACACAATCCAGATGTTTGGTCAATGTTCCTCAATAGCATAATCGGTACCCCTTTTTTCAAGACTATTTTGTGGTTTGGGATTCCCAAACATTTGATTTCGTTCAAAAACTCAACTGTTATCCAATCGCCATCAACACCTACATCTGCTTCTGCTTGGCACGAA